TGTGACGCGACCTGTAGTGAATCCTGGTGTAGGTAAACCAGCTTCCTAAGGCGTGGTGAGGACAGCTGAGGGGGTCCCCCGTGGGCCGGGCACCAGAGGAAGCGGGGACACCCTCCACCTTGCTGGGTGACGCTGTGTCTCACAGGACAGGCACACTTCCTAGGCACTTCCTCACGGACACGGGGGCAAAATGACTTTTGAGGCAGATTTGTCCCCCTAAACACTGCGGGACATCAACAGTAACGAAAAAGGCAGAATTTTATTTTTATTTTTTATTATTATTTTTTTAAATGTTTTTATTTATTTTTGAGACAGAGAGAGGCAGAGCATGAGCAGGGGAGGGGCAGAGAGAGAGGGAGACACAGAATCCGAAGCAGGCTCCAGGCTCCGAGCTGTCAGCACAGAGCCCGACGCGGGGCTCGAACTCACGGACTGTGAGATCATGACCTGAGCCGAAGCCGGACGCTCAACCGACTGAGCCACCCAGGCATCCCCAAAGGAAGAATTTTAAAAAGGGAGTGGCACGTGTGGAAAACATGATTGTTGAGGTGGGGTTCATCTCTTCTCAATCAGTGCATAAAAGTCCTCACGTTTTAAAATCAGAAGCAGGTAGAACGCTTCTTCCCAGGAACTTCTTTTTGGTTCCAGGAGCTCTTTGCTGAGCAGCCAAGCGTGTGTTTGGGGCCGCGTGAGGGGTGTGTCTGGGGGACCTTCCCAGGGTCCCCAACACCCAATCCTGGAAGACCTACGTTTGTGGGAGGCGTGGGGGGTGCACAGCACTGGGCCTGGAGGGCTCTGGCTCTTGTCCTCTGTGTCTGGGCAGGTGCCCGAGGGTCCTGAAGAAACGTTTTCAGGTCCTCAGGGCTCCCCGTGGAGGGTCCTAGCTAATTCCTACCCCTTCCTAGGCTTTGCCCATGGGCCTGGGACTGGGTGGATGAGCGCCCACCCGGCTGAGCGTGTCGCCACCTGGTGGCCCCTTTCCCACATTGCAGCTATAATGGGAGCTAGCCCAGGTGGGAACTTGGGGGAGGCCAGGTCTCAGTGGAGGGAGCCGGCGCATGTTAACAATACCTGAGAGAGGGGCCCTGATGGGGTGAGGTTAGCCAAGTGATGGGAACAAGGAAAGGGAATGTTAAGAGTTGAAGAAACCACTTGGAAAGAAAGCAGCACAAAAGCCCCCGGCAGGGGCAGGGCAGGAGAGGGGGCAGAAGAAATCGGACTGGGTGCCCCAGGGGGCCTCACGGTTTTGCTGGCATCTCCTTCTCTCTTCACGACTTTAATTTTTTTTTTTAACGTGTATTTATTTTTGAGACAGAGAGAGACAGAGCATGAACGGGGGAGGGGCAGAGAGAGAGGGAGACACAGAATCGGAAACAGGCTCCAGGCTCTGAGCGGTCGGCACAGAGCCCGACACGGGGCTCGAACTCACGGACCGCGAGATCACGACCTGAGCCGAAGTTGGACGCTTAACCGACCCAGCCACCCGGGAGCCCCGTCTCCTCACGACTTTAATAACAGCTGACATCTACAGGAGGCTCCCTGAGCACTAGATTCTCTTCTTAGCCTGTGGTGTGCATTCACTCATTTAATTCTCAAGCGTGTTTCTAGGGTAGGTACCCCCTCACCCAGACTTTATCCACAAGGAGCTCGGGCACAGAGAGGTTCAGGGACATGCTCAAACTCGCACAGCTAAGTAGGAACGCAGGCAGCCCGACTCCAGGACACCTGTGTTCCTCTCTGTCCCCTCCTGCCTCTGAGGGCTGCTTTCCGAAGTTCACCACAAACTTCCCAAACAACTTTGGGAAGACGTCCCTAAGGTCCCAGCCTGGGAGACGTCCCCTGGGGAGGCAGCAGAGTGACAGGGAGCCCCGGACTTCAGAGGGAACGCTTGCTTTGAACCCCACCCCTGCCCTCGTCTGGCTTTAACTCTGCACCTGTTTGCAAACATGGAAACCCGGGAACCATGCACCAGCTCCACAGGACCGCTTTGAGAAGTCAAGTTCACGCCCAGCAGGCCGTTGTGAGAACCGACACGAATTGGGGACTATCACCATTTACACTAATTTTACAGTATAGAACCCCAAGACTGGATTTCTGGACTATTCACAAAGTCAGAGACTTGTGCCGACTTTGGATCAAACTTGGGATTCATCCACGGATGTACCTGTTTATTGCGAGGAGATGAACCCTACCTCGCCCACCCTGGGCCCCGGCCAAGGCTATCTCATTCAGCGACTGTCTGAAGCGGCCGACGCAAATCTCCTCGGGCGGGCCTCCTGAGTGATTTTTATTCTTGACCTCACACCCCTTCTGACGGCTGGCATGGTCAAGTCCATTTGGCAGATGGGGCATCAGAGGGTAAGAGAGGTGAGGTGGTTCGCCATAGTCACACAGCAGTGAGAGTCACGGTGGCATTTGAAAGGCTAACGCTCTGCTTCCCGAACCTCTGGGCACTTGGTAGGGACGGACGCAGAACCAGGAGACCCTCAGCCGGGGAGCCACTGGGGCGTTTTTAGGCCGGAGCAGAACCCCTGACCGGAAGCTGTGGGGCGGGGGGCAACATGAAAGCATGCCCCGCCCCCGCCCAGAAACACCACAAACACACCCAAACGATAAAATAGCTTTTTTTTTTAATTCACTTTGATTTGGATCATTGGAAATGTCCAACAATAAATAAAACAGAGCAAAGGCTGAGGAAGGCGGACTCTGGCTAACTTCATTCCAAATGCATCCAGATTAGCGCTCGGCTACAAAACAAACACGAGGCGAGAGGGAAAAGAAAGCAAATTTTACGACGACGACGAGGAACCAAACGAGACCGCAAGGAGCGGAAAGCGCTCGGGAAACTTTGGCTTGGACGTGAGTTCAGCGACGTGCTGACGCGGCTGGGGAGGGCGCTCGCCTCCGGCGGGGGGGGGGGGGGGGCGGGGGGCGAGGTGGCAGGTTAGAGCTGGCGTCGGGGTCACGGCCATCCGCAGGTGGACACAAATGAGGGCAGCTGAGCCAGGGGGTCAAGTTCAACACCAGTGCAGGTCTCTGACGGGCTGAGAGGGAAG